CTTTCCCTGCTGGAGTCTGGAGGCAGGGGAGGAGGAATGAATCCCTGTTCCCCTTCCCTTTGCACATACTTCTTCTTTGTGTTAGAGGTGGGAGATAGCAATTAGGTCTGGCACCTTATATACCTAGTGCTGGCCTTCCAGTGGCTGATTTTACTCAATTGCAATTTTTAATTGCAGTCATTCCTGTTCCCTGTTACATCTGGTCTTTTTGCTGATATGAGGAAATTCTCAGTTAACTGCATCTGCAACTGAACCATTGGCAAGGAAAGAGATAACACTATTAGATTAGGTTCACATAATGGCATGTTAGCTTTACTGTTTCTGAAGGTAAAAGTTAGGCTGAGGAGGGTGTGCATTGCAATGTTTGGTTAAGAAGTTTCATTTGAGCTATACTTTCTGTGTTCTTAAGCGCTCGGGGAAACTTGATAAATGTCTATGCTCAAACGATGCCGTCATACTAGAATCATTCTGGTGGTTTTATTGCTCTGTATTTATGAAGAATATTAGCAGAAAACAGTTTTTCTGAAGTTATTTATAAGTTTTAGCACTGCTGACATCTACAGAAGCAAGGGAGCATTCTAATAAATCATTTGTTCAAGGCTTGTTTTAATTAATGTAGGCTGAATGAAAAATGTTTTGAAGAAACCTAGATCTGTGAGGGACTGTGCAAGGCCTCTGTTGTCCATCTGCTTCTCAGCAGCCTTGTCTGATGAAGTGTTAGAGTGATGGTGGAAGTCAGGCAGCATGCAGAGCATGTAGTCCTTCAGGTATAACTCCTGCACCCTTTTTCAGTAAGTTATTTGTTCACTGTGATGCCAAATTATGGGCTGATCAGCCACCACATCTGTCTGAAAAAGGGGGTAGAGACATAAATCACAGAAATAGGGTAGAGCTAGCTAAGTCCTGCCGAAACTTTTGTCAACACAACTGAAGTGGAGTTTCTGTCGCTGGTGGCTTGTATTGAAGGAATGAAGTGGGTTGATCTAAGTCGTTGGCTTTCAGAGCTATTTTCCATTCTCTGCCGTTCATGATTCTTAATCATTTAAAAATTGTTAATCATGTTGACTAACATCTCAGGTAGTGCCGTTATGATGCCAGAGTATGTTAAATTATGTACACACTGTGGTCAGGTTCTGACCTGATTTGCATCACCACCAGTTGTAGACTCGGTGCTGCTCCTGAACAGGTGTCTCCCAACTTCATCTCTTATTGCCCCAAGAAATCCATAGTGGCCTGATAATGCAACAACCTGCGGAACCAGAGTAATTTCAATCACATCTGCATTTTAGAAAGGCAGAATGTGGTAATGGAAGTGACCTTGGGAAAGTTCAGCAATCATTTGTTTGAGATCCTATGTTTCTGGTGCATTCTGGTGGGGAGTGATAAAGCACTGACTGCCCTGGGTGTGGCATGCTTCCTGTGATGAGAAAGGACTTTGTTGTTCTTCTCTCTGTTTCCCTGTGCTTGTTGAGTTCTCATGTCATTTTTCTCTTAACTGCAGGTCACTTCATGGGCAACAACACAGTGATTGATGTTTTGAGGAGAGAAGGGTATGAGGTAGAACACACTCCAGCTGGACAAGCCATCAACAAGTAATGCATGCTTTTATCTAGCTGAGCAGCCATTGAGAGGGTGGGTTTGTAAAAAATCTTGAAGAGGTATTGGCAGCTGGAACTATACCTAACAGTGAGCTGCGCTCCCTCTCTCCTCCCCAGCAGTTTACTTTTCTCTTCCATGAGCCAGTTTGGAACCAGGATTTTATTTGGTTTGGGTTTGGTTTTTTGGTGTTTTGTTTGGGGGATTTTTGCAGTTTTTGTTTGCTTGGTTTGGTTTGTGGGGATTTTTGTAATAAAATAAAAACCTAACAGCCACAGAGTATGCATGCTTGGTTCATCAGATCTGGATGCTGTCTCATACCACATTAGGCTTCCAGGTTCCTCCTTCCTCCCTTTTAAGTGTTTGACTGCCCTGCCTTACAACAATCTCCTCCTTTTCCACTACTGTTTTGGATTCTTTCTGATTACTCTCTCTGTCTGGACTCTGACTAGCCAGAGCCCACTCAGCCTCTTTGCAAGATGTCCCTATTGACTGATTGTTCTCTTCGGTGTTTTTAAGCCAAGGTACTTACTGTTTGGGTTCATCTTGCAGCTGTCCTTTGGGATATACCCTTACTGCCTCTTTTTATCTCTCACTGGGTGCCTTTATCCATCTCCATGGTTTCAGTAACTACAGAATGCCAAATAATCTCCTCCTCCACACTCTTCTGAGGGTTACATGTGCTCTTGCCTTCCCTTTTCCTTGTCTTCATGCCACCAGCTTAGGGTCTGCAATCTTTTTCTCCCCCTTCTCCAGACTTTTGCCAAACGTGCTCTTGTGTCTCCCGGATATCCCCGCTTTTCCTTGTAGTGACTGCTAGAAGACCAGAGTGGAAAAAGGGTTCTGATTGTGATTATAGTCATTTCCTGTCTTGGTTTGAAAGACAGGTGTCTGTGGAGGAAGGCAGGAGCCTCCCTTGAAATGGAAAGTGCAACTCCCTTCCCTCCAAATTATTATAATTTTGAAATTAACGGGCGTTCAGGCAAAGATATGGGGAATAGGAATAACAGTTCTTTACTAATGTGTATATATATATATATATAAACACAAGGCAGGGAAAAAACAAACAACCCACTGGTTTACACTGACAGAGTCAGGAATACAACCTGACACCCTGTTAGGGTGGCAGTAGCAGTCCGATAAGATGCTGGCTGCAGTCCTCTTGAAGCGATGGATGTAGTTCTGTGGAAGCAGCGATCAGGTAAAAGAGTCTGGTCTTCCTCCGAAGGTCCAGTGGTAGGTAGGTGGCTCTTGTCCTCTGGAACTCCAGTGGGGGGAAAAGCTCCTCTGGGAATCCAGTGGAAGAAGGCTGCTAGGGTGTTCAAAATCTCCTTTTTTATTTGGCATGGACTGCTTGGCTCCTTCCCCCCCCCCCGGGCGGAGACCTCACCAGAGGGGAGGG